TAAATTAACAATGCATGTGTGTATGTATGTGATAATTTGTTGCTTGAATATGCTTGGGAGAGAAGCACACATACATTACTTGCTTGCCCTTTTACTTCAAAACACAATTGACACCCATATGTGAGTGCAACTCGTTGACAAATTGATAATTTACAAGGATATTTAATTTAGAGCATGAGAACACTTTACAACTTACTCTCGAAAGTGAAATTTCAAATAAACGAGAAAGATTTGTGGGTTCTTTTGAGTTTTCAGTGCAATAAGAGAAAGTTTAAATGGGTGAGAGCGGGGCGAAAAAAATATTATTTTAATTAATGCAACCATAAAGTAAACAGTGCAACAGTTACGCATATTTAAACATACCGTTACACCCTCTTTTTGGTGATACTCTATTCGCCACAGAATCCGCTTTTCATTGCGTACTTAATGGCGACAAAGACTTTCCCAGCGCAATTGACAAGAATGGTGTTCATTCAAGTATATCCACAAAGTGCTTGACTACGAGTTCATACTCCATATCTTTTAAGGACGAAACACAAACGGCATCTATCGCGCTGGCGGTGAGCGAGTCACTCTCTCCCCATTCAACTGCACTAAATCACTTTGCAATATGAAATTAAAATGCCTACAGGCTAAGCGGCAGTGGCTATATGAGTGCGATCCCTTTGCGTTTTAAAGCGCAAGCGACAAAAATGTGTTCTTTGTGGGTTGCCAAAGGCTGTTTTGGGGGAACTTGGCAAGCCAAGCTTTGAGGGAAGCATAAAGGGGATGTTCCATGAAATATTGGTAAGATGATTTAAGTAGGCTTTAAGTTAATTGCATTTTGTATAAAATTTTTGCAATAAGGGGACGAATTTAACATTTGCAAAAATTGTTTGCCAAAAGGAAAAATGAAATTCACACACGCTGAAAGTCGAAAGATATAAACGAAGATTTTATTCGCAATAATATTATATTTTACGCAATGATGTTATCAAAAAAAATGGGCTTAAGTCGCTCAGAACGGCTTTTATGATCCATAAAAACTTTGCTTGTAACATTGATGCCCTTTAAGATTTGCCTGTCGACGCGTGAAGTGCCTTTGAAAGCCTCTTTTGGCATTTGTCGGACAATACTCGGAATCAGCGAAGTAGAACACCACAAATCACAATAACATGGCAGCTGAATTCAAGTAAATACTGCTCTGAGTAATTTTTATTGGTCAATATCTCTTAAAGAGTGGGTCCAACCATGCCAAGCCGGACTACATCTTATAAAGTTTAGATATTTGGAGTTACAAAGCCTGTAGTAATCGAGACCGGCAAGATAACGAATACTGGTCGGAACTTACTTCCGGGCTTGATGCTTTCTTCATCCTCCTTTCTTTAAATCTCTAAAAGGCAAAGCTTTAAGAACATTCGACGCAATCACGGCAAAAGACTCCAAAAAAGCATGAAGAAGGTACGATTGGACCCTGAAAACATTCTGCGATGTTCGTTGACCAGCGGTTCATCAGTATTCTTAGATAATGTAGCACTGTAATAATGAAACCCGTGAATCCAAGTATTATTAGGTTTAGACACCTCCTCGAATTCAAAGATAAAGAGAAAGCTCTGCGCAAAGTGGGTGCCGCACGAGCAACGACGAATTGTTGATTCGGAGCAGGGTTTGGCGGTGTTCAAACGTAATAAACATAAGTTTTTGCATCGAAATGTGATAATGGATGAAACATAGCTTCATAAGTTCACTCCGAAGACCAATCGACAGTCATCCGAGGGGACTGCACATGAAGAACCTTTTCCGAAGCGTGGAAAAACTCAAGAGTCGACTGGCAAGGTTATGGCGTCTGTATTTTGGGATGCGCGTGGAATAATTTTTATTGACTACCTTTCAAAAGAAAGGACTATTAACAGAATGTTACAAGTCAGTGAAAACGATGGCAAAAATCCATGAATTGGTCTTCGAATTGCTTCCGCATCCACCGCATTCTCCAGATCTGCGCTCCTGCAACTATTTCCTGTTCTCAGATCTCAAAAGAATGCTCGCTGGAAAGAAATTTTCATCGATTGAAGAGGTGATCGCCGAAACTGAGGCCTATTTTGAAGCAAAGGACAAATCGTACTACAAATATGGTATCAAAAATTGTAGGGTCGCTATAATCAGTGTAACACCCTTGAATCGAAAACGAATTTCGCCAAAAAAATGTGCTTTACTATGGTAGACCGGGGACTTGTTATTAAAAAACTGTTATTAAAGAGTAAGTAAACTACAATATTAATATTTTATCACTAAATTTCAACAAACATGGATGTTAATAATTTATATATCTTTGGACGTTAAAACCCGGCTTACAGAAGCACAGAATGTGTCCATCAGCTAGAATGTGAAACTATATAAATCCGAGAAGTTTATAGACTTTCCATAAAAAGGTATGACCTGGAGACAGGAGCCACTGAAGAACTTCTTCCAGTTCTTGGATTGTCTTAACGAACTAATAAAACGAATGTAGAATTCAACTAGGAATTAACAATTATGGATCCAAGACATATCCGATGGTTAATACTTCAGCGCACAGGAATTTGAACTCCTTGCCGAACTGAAACCCAGCACCATTTATGCATGTTTATTAAATGACATCTTGTTGTAGCAATCGTAAGAGTTGCAGCATTGTTGTGCTGTGGCGAATAAGATGAATGCTACTCATTTAAAAATGTATGGGTGAAATCCGTCATTTAAATTGCAAATGCCGTAAATGGACGGAGTTAAGTGAAAACGAGCTTACAAACTTCAGATTTACGCCATTGCATATGTGTTGTACCATATGTATATGGAGGGATGTGTGCACCTGCAACATAAGGCAAGTTACAACAATGCAAATATAAATAAAGAATAACTTGGAAAAGCAGAGAGGCGGCGAGACGACAGCAGCTGAAGGAGAACAGCGACTTTAGGGAGCGCAAAATGCTGATGGACCTCGACTACGCGCAGGACGCACCTAAAGACCGGCACACATGCATACAAATGCTTAAGTGCACATGCATTTAAAAGGTTCACACAAATGCAATGTGTAAGTATGTGTGTGTGTATTGTGCGGCGTCACCCAACCGAAATGCATGAATGAATGCGTTAATTTTGCATGAAGCACCGCAGCAAAAACAACAACAACTATGGCTGTTAACGTTGCCACCCGCCGCAATATTTGTACGTTTTTATGTATGTATGTATGTATATGCCCCCGCTTGCCAGGCGAGTTTTCAGTTTCAACTTCGTCATCGTCATCGTCACCGTCACCGTCAACTTGCCTGCCCCACTGCTCACCCGCCACTTCACTGTTGCCAAATTCAATAGCGCTGGCAATTTATTGTTGTAATAAGTTAAATAGCGTATGTAATGAGGCAATGACCCCGTTTATGTTTGCTCAGCATCAAGAAGTTGCCTGAAAAGCGTTCGCATGACCCGCTCGAGGCGTTGAAGCGGGGAGTCGTCACCGGGCGCACGCGAGTATGTGACACATAAAAGACACACAGAGTGGAGAAAAGTTATTCAATTAAATGCGAAAGGTTCGCTTGCATTCCTTCACGGTATATTTAAATGCAACGTGGATCCCAAGTCATGGGCAAATAGATGTCGAGGAGTTGTGGGAAATGCGGAATGCGCTTATGTGCAGCAAACAATCTAAGAAATTCATAAGTATCTGCGCTTTTGTACGAAAATATGTGCGTTAATAGGTAAAACTGCGAGCAGATGTCTCAAAACTTGCAAAGGATTATTTGCGCTTCTCCAGCAGAGATGCAAATTTGTACCGTAAGCTTAAAGTGGCCCGAAAGAATGAAAAGGAATTACAAAATAGGCCAAGATGATATGCTTATTAGTCGCAGCTGAAACCGACTAGGTAAAATTGTCAGCTATTATGAAGTGGTTTATTTATTATATCTTCCGAAAGATGAAGCTTTATAAAGATCTAGGCGCTTAATAATAGTAAGTAGTACAAAAGTAAAACTTTCCTTAACGATAATGATGTTATTGCAAAGAAAAGAAAGAAAATGAAATCAGCTTCAAAAGATTTGCTTCAGATTTGAATATTGAAACATTATTTTCACTTAAATTAACCCTCTTTTTTCAGTAAATAGAGCACATAGATGTTTGTGCATTAAATAGGCAAAGCTTCGGTAGTTCTATGTACAATACCTTGGAAGTCATATTTTTGCTCTATATAATTTGTAAGTTAAAGTTGGGGTTAAATGTGGTATGTAACTCTGATATATCACTGAAATTGTTAAAATTTCCGGAAACTATCAGTTCAAGGTTGTTTTTTACATTATCATATCAGACTTAACTCTCAGAGAACGAAACAACTAGAACATCATCATTCATTTGACTAATTTAAGGATGAGCTCAAGGAGTATTAAAATGTATGTTTTTGAAGAATTAGAATTTTTGATGACCTTTATAAAAGTCATACGAATATATCAACAAAAGATTGAGGCAACATAAAAAAAGTTAAATGTAATATTAATATTAATATAACCCTAAACAGGGTATAAAAGTTGTCCACGAAAATTATAGCACCCTATAAAATACATATGTATATACAAGTAGTATATAAATATTCAACGTGAAGAGCTGAGTCGATTTAGCTATGTCCGTCTGTCTGTCCGTCTATATCTACGCGAGTTTTTGACATATCGATCTGAAATTTTGCATATGTTCTTTTCTTTCGATGCAATTTCGGTTCATATTAGTAAAATACTGGTTTCGCAACACCCTAAGACATAAGTGTGGCTTTAAGGTATCTTATAACTGCGGTGAATCTGAGTACAGCACAACTGATTTTTTCGATGCTAGAACGTTTTCTTATAATAATATTTTCCTTTTGCGGAAAGAGATTCGCAATTATGTTATGCTCAATCAACTCTCTTCCTATTGGATCTCTAATATCGAAGAAAGTATTTCAAATGCAGACCTTGTACTATGGTTGCACAATATTTTACAATTTAAGAAAAAATTGTATATCGACTTACTTCATTGGCATCGTTTTTGTATTTCGGGAGCCTAATTAATACTTCACGACAACTGAAACAGAAAAAGAAGACAAAGTTAGTTTTCTTAGTATTATTGGGAGAATTTTTGAATGTACTCTATTAGGTTTTAATACAAAATGCTTTAGCTTAGGTGTTTTCAAGAAAATATAGCTTTAAATTTATCTGTAAATATTGTTTTTTATTTAAAATTATTTATAAAACAATCGATCTTTTTTTTTTATATGGGTCACACAGCAAAGTTTGTAAACGACAAAAACTAACAAGAGCCAATACGATATCGGTTATTTTTATTAAAAAAAAAACTGGAAGCCCCATCTTTATGGGATCGTTCCAATTTACTCTATTTAAGGACTCATTAGGTAATATAATTATTAACGTGAGGATGCAGAAGCTACGCCCCAAAAAACCATCTGACTTTCATTAACAAAGTTCCAAGGAAATTGATTTCATTCGAGTTTTAGAAAATAATGTCAATATCTCTAGAACAATGGAGGCTTGATGAGCTTTATGGAGTTGTGTATACAAAGACAACTCAAGTATTTAATTTCAGTCGGAAAATATTTATGAGCACAGATCTGTGCAATGAATGAGCGATTTTGTCGATATCTACATATAATTTGCGGCTTAATTCAAAAATATTTCGAAAATAATCCTATCTTATTTATACTGAGGTGCTGTACTCTAAGAAACTCGTTACTGCGGACGTTTTCGAATGCCTTGTTTAGAAATTCTAAATAATTGCAAACCTACCTAACAAATGTTTGGAAAATTTTGAGTTTATAAGCTTCCATAAACATTTCATTAACAACAAAACGTGATGTTCCCAACTAAGTGTGCTCAACCTTTCAAGTTACCATTACTAAATTAACTAACTGTGTCTTATTTTATGGGCGAAAATACTGTTTCGCAATATTTTCCACTAATTAACTTTTCACGTATTTTAGCGTTGCAACACCGCTACTGCTACTAAACCTTTTTTACTGCTGCCACAACAGGCTGATTTCTGGTTTGGTCTCCCACCGCCCCAACACGCTAAAAAGATATTGGCTGGCTGAATATTGCTTTGCTTGCTGTCAACCATGCAACTTAACACCGTCAAAGTATTTTACGAGAGCAGTGACTGTTGCGTCAATTGCCTGCTGCTGCGAGTACAGTGATAACCGCAAAATGCGCGCCAAAAAGGGCTGTTTGGCAATATTGTCGCACTGGAGAACGCAGAAAATTGTATTGCGTAATGTATGTATAGGTTTTTATAGTAGAAGCGATATAAAAATATGATTCGCATTCGTCATGAAAGTTTTATGCTGACACACGTACCAACCACCCATCCATCCATCCATCCAGCCAACTAACCATTCATGCATTCATCTGTCCCATCATTAGTTGTTATAATTTATGCCCTTAAGAGTGTCGAGAAAGGCTTTGAGATGGCAGGAGTCAGCGACCGGGCGAGGAAGAGAGCAAGCAAGAGATAGTACCAGCATTAGCGTAATTGTGGTGTCAGTAACTATCGACCACTGTTTTCAAATGCCGTCATGGGAGCATGACTTTCGGCGTTCATCCTGACAAATCCAGCTGGTAGCATAACAACAACAACAGCAATAACTAACTATTGCCAACATAACAGTAGCGCTTCTGCTTTGCTACTACTTATATTGTCAACCCGAACGAACTCGTACGTATCCTGACCGCAGCAGCTGCGTTAACTAGTTCTCTCGGCATAACCACACTTTCGAGTGAATCAGCTGTGCAGCGTTCGGTAGAGCCCGGCAGCATTTTGCTGACTGATTGTTAGTGCTATGTCGAATGTTTAAGTGATGATGGAGCACACTCCACGCCGCTGGCTGAGTGTTGGGCGGAGCGGTGGTACCCACGCTTATGTTTTGAGTTTAATGTGGCGTTTGCGCTGTCGCAACTGCCACTTGAGACTTTTACGACGATGACGACAACGACGACTACTGCTGCGGCTGTCACTATTATGTGGCGCATGTTGCTGTTGCCCGCCCTAAAGTACCTACTCCGACATGGTGCTAGTGGTAGTTTATTCTGCTGAGCTCGGTTGCGGATTCATTTATGGTGTGTTGAGTTGGTTAGCAGTTGGCTGAAGTGTTGGTAATCCAAGCGTAATTGAAGCGAAGTAACACGCTAAGAAATTGTTGGTGAAAATTTGGCGCGACATTGGTTAGTTTTCGTAAAAGAAAGACTCTTGATGTTCCTAGGTTCTAAATTTAAGACTATAAATTCTAGAAGCTCTAGATTTTTTAGAAGTTTTTTCTTTTATCTTTACTTCTCGAGGTTTCATCCGATTGTAAGCGAGTCGGTTTTCCGATATCAAACAAGCGCTGGTCAACAACCAGAACTTAGGAGGCCCTCCGAACTACTTGCTCTTAGCAAAGTCAATCTCGTCGCAAGTGTAAGTGTTCTGACTGGACATTGTCCAATAGGTTCACACACCGTGCACCTAAATATTTTTTCGGACGCTCTTTGCCAGAGCTGTTCCAAACAGAAGGCGAGGTGCAATCATCTTGTCAATTTCTTCTCTATTCCCCGGCTTTTGCCAGACTGAGATCAAAATATATCGGTAGATCCACCTTTGGTGAACTTAGCGAAGTTGCTGAGATTAATATTAACAGACTTAATAAATTTGTGGTAAGCTTCGTCGATCTATGAGGATCTGGTGATCCCCTTTTAGGATTTTATTGATAACATGTGGACGAATATCCGTAAAAATGAGATCCATCAATTTTTAATCAACCCCATGACCTAACCTTATCCAACCTCACCTCGTGAGGTTTCGCGGACCTCAGGACTAAGTTAAGACCATAAATAAGTTTCTCGAATTGTTCACATTTCTCTCACTAGTTTCTCACAGTGTCAATTTCCTTACCAACTGAAGTTGAAGTTGCGTTGACATTGTTGCCTTTTGTGGCGTTCCTAATGTTTGATTGTTTTATGGTAACAATGCTCGCAACTTTTGTTATGGTGACTACTCGAAGTGCTAAGGATACTCATTAAAAGTAGAAAGAAACACATCGCTTAGTTTATGTTTTAGTGCACTTATTTTTTTTTTTAAGCAAAATACTGGAAATTAGTATTAAAAGTTATACTCAAATGTTTAGTTGGCTTACATTGTATGTTGTACGGATTTGCTACGGATAACTTTATTGCTACGGGTAATAAATTTAGTAAGAGGTGTTTGTGGAATTGTGGTTAGGAAACTTTGCAGATCGTTTCTGCTTTTCTTGAGATTATATGGACTAGGTTTTGGTTATTTAACAACTATAATTTCATAAGCATCCCAGTAATGTTTTTCAAAATTTGTTACTATATTCCAAACACTTCAATTTTAGAGTTCACTTTAGAAATCCGTCCTTTAATAATTTGCAAAAAAATTCTAATAAAACATTAAGATATATTTTTGGTTTAAATTAGCATGAGTTCAAAGCATCACCTCATACTTTTCAAATAACCCCGTTCGAAGTAAGTATTTGGTAGTTAAATGCCAAAAGGATTGGAAAGTAGGACCATTTTATGACATAAGTGGGATTAAATAACTACCCGAAGAATTTTATAAAGACAAAAAAAGAATGCCGAAATACGACTTTTCTTTGATTACGTATATTGCCGAGTGACGAATCGAACATAAAATTGGTGTAACTAAAGTAGACTGGATTAATTAAGAAGATATTGAAGGATACCAAGAGCTTACACTGCTTTTATGAAATAGTCACATTTATAATTTTTGCACGTACTTCAGTTTTGATTTCATATGTAAATTTTTGAACCAGAAAGAGAAAAAGAAAGAGATATCAAAAATAGCGACCAGACAATTGGCAAATCGGAAACGATTAAAGACATTTAAAAGGTTCTTGACGACATACCTTACCTTTCGAAATCACCAATCTTATTCTATGAACATCTATATTTTTGCAGTCTAAATACCTTAGACCTGTCAAAAGCTTTACAAAACTTTCTCGTATTAGAAAATTAAACCTTTAAGCATTCGAAAACCGGAAAAATTTTAAAATTTTCTTTAATATATAAGAAGGTGAGAAAAGTTATTATTTGTGAGTAAACCAACAGGCATTTCTACAAATGTACAAAACAAACAACCGTTACAGCAATGTCTGGTTGAGAAGAATGCCGGCGGTGCTAGCGGCGTTTAAGTAGGTGGCACCTGTGGCAACACCTGCAATTGTGCACGGCAAAGCACAATTCATGCGGCAAATATGCTGAGCGTAGCAAATGAGGAAATTTAGCCCGACACATGAGAAGAAGAAGTAGGTAAATAGAATATTGAAATCCACAGAATATTTGCTTTCACTTTCTGGGTTGTGGATTTTCTTTTTGCCTCAAGTTTTATTCTGCCTTTTTTGGAAACGACTTCTTACGCAAGTAAATAAAATAAACAAATGCAGATAAAATACAACAACAACAACAATAAAAAAACACATGTAAGCTTTTACAGTTATGTGTGATATGAAGCAGATGCGGGAGGTTTAGTGTGCCCGTGGCAGCTACAATGCGTTGCAAGAATGAGTACATATTATATACATCCATAAGAGTACATATATGTACAATATATATATATGTATCCATATTTATTAATATATATATATATATAGCTTTTTCAATTTAAATATCCACAAATACCTGTCTATACAAATCGACTAATGTATTTACTTAGATACCCTATAATGTGTATATAAAACCGATTAAGCTTATTGCCTTTGTTTTTTCTTCCTGTTTAGGCTTTTCATTTTCATATTTGCCGTTTGTTTGAAAATCGTTTGAAGTGTTCATAATCATTGTGTTCTCGATTTGCATATGGAAAATTAAAACAACAAAAAGTACATGCATGTTGTTGTACCAATAACATATTTGCATAAATGTGTTTCACTGCCACATCAAAGAAATTCGACTGAGTAGAGGTAGAAATGGTACAACAAAATGGTCAAACAAAACAACTTTTAAAAAAATGTTTCACAGTGGGATTGATTTGAATGGTTTCAAGCATAAAAGAAAGGGAAA